TTCTTTCCAGAAGTACGGTATAGAAACCCTGGAAATTTAACCGATTAAGCTCTGACCTACAAAATTCCAAAGTACAGGTATCAGGTATTGACTCAGATAAAACTATAATGTAGCACAATTTAGAGAAGATATCATGATCATATGATATGGTAGATGTGAACAAATCCATTAGTAAATGGTATAAATGTGTAGCTGATAGGTTTAAATTCCTATCGTGAACAAAGAAAGAGAGTTTATTGAATTAAAAGAGAATTACAAGCAATAATAAAAGTGTAAAACTGCTCCCAGCATTGGAGGATCTCTCCAAGCCCCTGCTATGCAGAACTTACAATATGAAAAACCAGAATAATGCTACTCATCCCTCCTACTTTCATATATAGAGAGCATTAAACACTGCTAACTAATATTGCAGTTATTTTCTAAAATAAATGCTGCATTTAACCATAACAGCTACATTAATTCAGATCTTCCCACAATAACTGCCCATTAAATTGCAGTTAATACAATTACTAATTATTTATTTAAATAACTAACTCCTAAATACTACAAGAATAACTAACCACATTACATAACTGAATTACATCCATTACTTGTCTCTAACTGAAAATAAATTTCTATCAGTAGCCGTGTAGGAAGCCAAAAAATCCACATAAATATGAATGACCTACCCGATATTATCCAATAACAATTACTCCTAGAAATTATATCCTTTGCAGAAAATACATTTTTTCAACACTTATTTGTGCAATACAATTTGTACATTTTTTCTGCAGAAAATACAGATAGTAAAAAGACTCAAAAATCACTAGTCAAATGGAATACATTTTTTCTGCAGAAAATACAATACAAATCAAAAGGAAGTAAAGGATCCTCTTGTTAAATAAGACTTATGAAACATTCTCACATGAACAACTTTACCCTATAGATAAAACTAGAACCACTCCAATTGAACATCCCAGGAAAGGTGAGATTAAAAGGCGTAATATAAGATAGAACTACGGTCAGCAGGTCCCTCTGCCTATGATTTACACACTACGTATATGATGAGTACAACACAAACACAATATACAAAGAATTATAATAAAACATTATGAGCATATCTTGAAGGATAAGAATTTCTGACCATCTGCTGAATATAACATCTTCCACGAGATCTCTGCTAGAGAAAGGTTCCTTTAGGGGCTCGAAACATTCATGCATCACTGAAAGAGCAACGTTGAGTTTGCAGTAACTTTCTGCTAGCAATTCACTTTTAGCACTGCCAAGATTACAACTCTCAGAGTTGCTGAACTTCACTAGTGTCCAAGTTAGATTGCCCAAACCCACTGTAACTGGCACTCCTAACAGTTTGTTGAGGCCTTCATATATCTGCAAAAAATAGATATGAGAGTGTAGAGTAGAACTGGTGTAGTAAAAAAACCTTTTCTAGCAGCACATATATCAAAGACAGACAGCCTTATATGCTTCTCTGGCATTAAACAAATACCTTCTGCTTTTCAAGAAAATAAAGCCTCATAAATTCAATGAAATCACGTGTAACTGTTGACCAGAATCACATATGCAGAAGTATTGACAATACATACAATTTTGTTTCAATAAACGAGCAGTAAAATAATGCTTCGAATGAAAGTAAAAGCAGAATAAATTCAATAACAAAAAAAGGGAAAGAAAATCCTGGAAGTAAATAAAAAGGAACTGCTAATTTTTGGTGCAAAAAATGACTAAAAATTTCTTAAAACTAGAAGAAATGAGGGAGGTGGATTTAATGTACCTTTTCACACTTTTTTCCACAGAACCAGTTTTCCTGATACCTTCTTGATTCATCCACAGCTCTACTTTTCACGCACCTAACATGATCTACATAAGATTGACAAAGATGACACCATAAGCATTGCAATGTTGATTTACATTATTACATATGTAGAAAAATACACACTCAAAAAGATATCCAGGCATGAACGAAATGTTAAAGTGAACATACATATTAGCGTACTTACATTTATTTTCACACTGAGTACAAGCAAGGAAATGTCCATCCTCATCTCCATTGATTTTGCTTTGGCCACAAATCCCGCAACGACACGATGGACAAAACCAGTCACCATCAGGGATATCCTATAGAGGAAAAATGAAACCAGCCCACGTAAATTGAAGTAATAAGTAAAAACAAGATAACATTAAATAAATATTGCATGATTGAGAAGGAAAAGGCTAATCTACCTCCAAACCGAGACATGTCTTGTGAAATGAAGACGGACATTGATCACATAAAATAAGTTCACCACCATAGTGGCAAACAGAACAAATGTAGTCATTCTCCCCTTGAAACAAACCATTGCATGGTTTTTCTTTAGTTTCCCTTATCCTATAATCTTGCATTATTTGAATCTGGCAATCTAAGAGTGACCTACCATAATCTTCCAAAAAGATATTAGCAGCAGGTCTGGGGGTACTACTACCACTAGCATGCTTTTCAAAGCCAACAAGACTGTAAACTGTCTGACAGCAGTTACATTTGATTCCATCACGAGTTATTCGCCCCTCAGCCATAGCACGGTACCGGCTTTTTTCCAGGTAATAAACCTTAGACCTTGGTAGCACTACATTGTGGTCTATCAACCAAGACAAAACATTTTGTGGCTTCTGGTGTGACAGAGAAGGGGTAGACACCTCTTGCACCCTTTTACTTGATCTAAGCACCCGTACAGGTAATCCATTCCTTTGGCGCTTAGGTAGGCTAGCCTTTGAATTACTCAAGCGTTTCCGCTTCCTATTTGCAGTAGATCCACTTGCAGCTACGCCATCTATGCCATGTAATGCAGGTTTCTCCGGAGGCAATTGGGATACTCTATTTAATAAATCACCATTCTGAACTTGATCAACATTTTCCTCATTAATGACTGAGTCATTTTCATTTACAAGTTGCATGCCAGAATTAGTCCATTTAGGAATGCTTTCTTTGATACAAAATCCACATGCTGCATGGAGTGTCAGAAAAATTTTCTTTTGTGGACATATATATTTAATTCCCCTTCTTTTATTAGTTGGATGATGTTCCAAAGTCCATCCTTCTGCTAGCAGATGCTTCTTTGCTTTCTGTATCCATTTTCTTTTATCAGTCCTGTTCTTTTTGAATGCATTATAATATTCCACAACAGCTTGAGGACAAAACGCCGGTTCATCTGCAAATTCTGGTTCATCTACAACTTCAACAGGAGGAGGTGGCAAAGTTGCAAGAGAAGTATCTGGATCCTGAATCTTTTCGGATGGATTAAGAGGCACATGTGAAAGATGGGAGTCAAAGGTATGATGCATTATACTCTCATCATTTTGGGACATCAAGAAGTTTGTTTTGGAGTTATTTTGCATAACTTTACAAACTTTAGTGAGTGAGAGGTAAAACTTCTGGTCCTGTTCATCAGGTGACTTGTACCTGTAACGTTTATACCCACGAAATTTAGATGTCCACTCAATTTTCCATCCAAGGTATGCAAGATGTTTATGTACTTTTTTAGTCCAAAGTTTCCTAGTTGCTATGCTCTTAGAACCAAGTGCATATTGCTTAACAGCATCAGGACATAATTCAACTTCAGAAAACTTAAGAGGTTTCCAATGCCCGGACCTTGAACGAGTTGAGGATATATTTTCTCTATTATTCTCAAAACAGCTAGAACCTGAAACTTCTTCACCAGCATCATCAGGGGGGATTTCAGTTTGAAACTCTGATAAGACCTCTTCAAATGGAGGAAGAGGATCTTTCTGCATCAAAATTTCCTTTTCAGGTAATGTTGTGTTCAAGTCCCCATTAGCTACAGGTTCAACAGACTCCACCTCTGGTGTTTCATTGAATAAACTCCTTGGAAGGTTTAAGACTGAGAAAACTTCTTCTGCAGTAAGAGAAAAGTACTCATCAACAACATCCAATACCATGTCTCTCCATAAGTCCTTCACATTGAATGTCCACTCCCCAATCCTGTTAAAATCACTTTTTCCCCGTACATCATACCAAATCTGCTTTGCTGAAACTCCAACAAATGATGTCCTCTCACACTCCTCAATCAATTCAAGAAACACCCATTTCCCTCGCTGCTCCCACTTCTCTGCAACTTCATCCCAGTCCTGAGTAATCCGAAGTTGGTGAATTTCAACATTCATTTCATCACCCAAATCAGGGAAAAACACACTCCTCTCCTCCTTCTCATCATTGTGATCAAATATAACACCTTCCCACCAAGCTTCCTGATAGTTCACATCAACACACACACCAAATTTAAGGTTCCTTTTATCAAACTCAATCAAAGGAGGCACTGGCCTAATGAAACCGCGCTTATAGAAATCTGAAGAGCTACTTTGACCATCCAAAGCTTCAGAAACATGCACTAACTCCTCAAGATTATTAATCTCGTCATCATCTAAGATATTATCATATCTGACTAGGCGCTTTAGCTTCTCACAGTGGATAACTATCCCCGGGTGCCATGACCCCAGAAACCCATCCTCAGCACTCCTCAACTGAAAATTTCAAAAGTCAAAACTTTTCAAATTCTAGAAAAGGAAATTCCAGATAAAAAAAAAAATACACACTAATTTTAACTACAAAAATTTTTGAAAACTTAATATTATATTACCATAAACATTGCCACAAGTCAAAAAAGTACTTTGCAAGAACGACAAAGGGAACAATGCACAGTACAATAAACCGTCAAAAAAGGGGATTTTTTTTTTGGTAGATAAAAAAAAAAGGGAATTTAATAATGAAAACATCAATGGTATGTGTAATGTAGCCATCAAAATACAGTGACAACCAATCGTTGAAACTAATCAAAACCCAAGAATTAACAACAACAACAATGAAAACCAAATACTCACAAACTGAAACACATTGACAAGGATAGAAAAACAATTAAAAAAAAACAGCATCGTACAAAAGTTAAAGAATTGCGAAAAAAAATAAATTAAAAAAGACCCCAGAAATTCCAATAACGAAAAGAACATTGTTTTTTTCAAGAAATTGATTACCTCAACACGTTCATTGATTCCAAAGAACATTTTCTTTTTGGCGAATCCTCCTTGAGGCTTCTTGCTTGGAGAATCCATCACTCCCTCTACAGCCATTGGATACTTTTCAGTTTTGAGAATGCCGCCTTTCACACGAAAGAACATATATTATAATCCTTTTATAGTAATTAAGACTCTTGTTTAATTTAACTTTTTATATTTAACATTAATTTGAAATTTGAAATATTATATAAAATTAACATATATATATAGAGATATATATATTAATCATCAGCTGCTATACACATTCCATTGTTGCTTACGTGGCGATCTTTATGGGCCTACTTAGTGTAGCGATTGCCCCCACGTGATCTTTTACAGTCCTAGGTTATTTGTGCACGTGCAACTTTGAAAACAAAAACATGTGGACCCAATGGACTCCTGTCACAGCTTTTTCACATGTTCTGTCAATGTTATTAAATTCTGATTGTTAAGTGATTGGTCAACGTATTGGATTAATACTTATACTCAGTAGTTGGATTGTTGCTTCAATTCCGCTAAATTAAATTTATATTAAATTAGTACATTATTCATGCGATCCATAGAAAAAAAAAATCAAAATTTTGTTGTTGATTAATCTCTAAAAAAATATTCAAAATTAATCTCTAAATTAGTACATTTTAAGTTAAATTTTTAATTTATTTTCTTTTAAAGTATAATTAAGTCTTTTTTTTTGCAGTTAAATTTCAAATATTTTTTATCAACTTTACATATTTTTTATAATTTTAAATATTTTTCATTTAAACTATAATTTTATATTATATTTAAATTTATTATATATATATTTTTCCCAGTGCAGAAAATTAAAATGCTAAAAGAAATTTACTATATATGTATATATATAAATTTTTATATATATATATATATATATATATATATATATATATATGTTCAACTTCAGAAATTTCTTGAGGTCTTTTGGTTTTTTTGATAATTATGGGAAAAAGCATTCAATGGTTTTGTTAATTGATTGGTCAACGTATTCAGTAGTTGGATTGTTGCTTCAATTCCGTTAAATTAAAAAAAGGTACTTGGTGAATTAGAATCATTTTAATTACAGGCTGTTTAATTGACTGAGATTTTCCACACACATACCATAAAATCTTATAAACAAAAAGAGAAAATGGTTATTTTAATTATTGGTGATTGATTTATCAATTAATGATTTGAGATTTTTCACCATACATGAAATATTGAAAATAGACACAATCACTCATTCCCAAATAGGCTAGATCATTTCCCTTGTTTACCAAAAGCTGTCATGTGATAGCATCCCTCACCATATAATTCACTCATCTCATTAAAATCTCTGAAATTTGATTTGTCATCTGTGATAACGGGAATAAAATTAAAATTAATTTTTTTTTTTGGTACATAATTAAAATTAATTTAATTTTTTATTCTATGAATCATACTAATGTACCGCTTTATTTTACAAATAATTTAATGCGATAGATTTTGGAAAATAATTACGGCTATTAACAGAAAGTAATTTAATGCAAAAATAATGATTGGATTTCTTAGTAAATTTAATGCGATTGGATTTTTTAAAAAAATGGATGTAATTCTGTTCTATATGAATCAAACTTAAATTTGGACATGAAAAAAATGGAAAAAAATTTGAATTACATCATTCACTTAAATTGTTTTTATGAAAAAAACAGTGTTAATTATAAAATACAATAATATAAATATTTTTAATTACAAGAAGGTATTTACTGATAATATTTTCAAAGCCAGGATATACTCACCGATTAATAATTAAAGAAAAAAAAATAGACTTTTTTGTTTACCCAAAAAAAAAGAACGGACATTTTTGTTTTATATTATACAAAAGATTCTTAACCAAGTTTTAACATAGTTGCATTATCAGATATTCGAACTCAAAACTCCTAATTAGTTATAACAACTCCTTATCAATTGATCCATGCAATTAATGGATATTAATTAATTTTAGGGGTAAGACATAAACTGAAAAATAATTTTCAAAAATTTAATTGCATTTTTACAAGTAATTTCAATGTGCTTCTTCACGAATCATACAAATGCATCTCTTCATTTTATAAATTATTTTAACGCGATAAATTTTTGAAAAAAAATTCGCACATGGAAAATAATCATATTTTTTCATTAAATTACTTTCAATTAATAGCTATCTTTATTGTCACATTAACCAAAATCCAACCACGCTAAATTATTTAAAAAAATAGAGGCAAATTTGTATAATTTATAGAGTAATATTCAATTACTTTAAATTTTATTCTCCATGATATTTATGACAAATCAGTTCATAGTCTTTATTGAGGACCCTAGAAGAGGAGTAAACTTTTGATGCTACCGATGCACCATGCATCGGTCCCAAAAAAGCAAAAAAGTTGGGATAAGGATGGAATAAAAATGAAACTGTGGGTTTAAATGGGAAGAAAACTTACTTTATTCGAAAAAAAGATGTACCCAAGTGGGTACATCCGATTTACAGAAGAAAATTCCCTAGAAGAGAGTCCTTATCTTGGACAATGGACCAGAGTCTTGATCCTGACACTGGATCAAAATTCTTACGGAGTTCACTAGACTATAGTCCTTTTCAAGGATATTTGACCAAAGTCCTTATCGTGGACATTGGACCTCAGTATTAGAACCATAAACTAGAGTCCTTATCTTGGATTGCTATATCAGATCAGTCCGGTGCACTTACAGTTGGCTCATAAAATATGGTTCAACTATTGATTCAAAAAGTTTGGAGTTAGCCAAAATCATGTTCCAATAAGTATGACCTGCATGTTTAAAAAAGCAGAAATTTGAAATATAACAAATTACGATCAAAACCAAGTTAAAAGGAAGCAATAAATATAATTGTGATTTGTTTGCAAGAAAAGGAAAGCAACAAATTTGGCATGATTTGAGATCTAAGATTTGGGATGTGTTTTGAATAATTTAATTATATATATATATATATATATATATATATATATATATATATATATTAGATGTAGTTATTGTTATATTTATTTCAGGATTTTGAATTTTAAATTTTAAATCAATTTGTAATTAGTCTATAAAAGGGTGTTTAACACTCTTATTGTAGGTGTTGAATTTTGCTGTTTTGCTAATTATAATCGAAAACTGCAGGGTTACTCTTTTATAAAATCCTAACTTTCTGTTTAGCCACCTTTTCTATGTGCATTCGGCATCAGAGTCCTAATCTTGACACTGGACCATAGTCTTTATGGAGAATAAAAGACCAAAGTTCTTGTGAAGAACACTGGACCAGAGTCTTCATGAAGAAAAGTGGAACAGATTCCTTATCGAGGATAATTGACTAGAGTCCTTATCTTTAACACTGACCATAGTCCTAATCTTGATACTTAACTAGAGTCCTTATCGAGTATAGGAGATCATAGTCCTTATCCTGACACTAGACCAGAGTACTTATGGAGGCACTGGGCTAGACTCCGTATCTAGGATATTGGACCATAGTCTTTCTCTTGGATCCTCGTCTAGAATTTTTATGGAGGACACTAGACCACTATCCTTATTCTTTTGAGGGAGTTCTCATAAGTAATTTTTATAACTTAATTGATACGTACCTCATAACTTTTATACACACATTACAATAGACCTAATTTTATGGTGTTAACGAACTTCTTAGGAGTAGCAATAAAGAACTTTTAAATTTCATTATCGCGACCAAGATTAAAGTTGCAAAAATAGGTTATAGGATGCAAACCAGCCCCCAAAGTTCTCTATATTGGACCTTAATTCACAAAGTTCATTTTCTGGTAGGCCTTTTTCTTACCCCAACCGCCTCCAAAATACTATAATTTAGCAGGTTGGGATAAATAATGATGAATGTGATCAAGAACATAGTGATAATTAGTGAATGCAATATATTATAGGGTTTTAATATTTGCACTTGATATTGACTTAAAAACATATTGGCTTCAGGTTAAATTGTTAAATCAGAGATTTAGAGCCAAATGGAAGCTAGAATGAATTAAACAAATAACATAGTGATAATTAGTGAATGCAATATATTATAGGTTTTAATATTTGGAGTTGATATTGACTTAAAAACATATTGGCTTCAGGTTAAATTGTTAAATCAGAGATTTAGAGCCAAGTGGAAGCTAGAATAAATTAAAGAAATAAATATGGAGCAATGATTTAGTGAAAATATTCTTGAAGCTATCTTTCGCCAATTTTTCACATCAATTAGTGTTAAATATGATTATGGATTTTGATCTCGTGTTCTTCATAGAAGTTGTATATCTTTCTCTTATATGTCCAACGAGACTAAGATCACATCAATTGGACGAATATAGCTCACTTTATGGCCCTCATCTCCAAAATTATATTTTTGCTGCCAAAATAGCGCAATTTAACGCGCTTCGGCCCAATTGCGACCTAGCTAAGGACCATTACGGGATTTTCACCCAAGTAAAGGTTCCTACACATATTTAATCTAATCTTCAGAGGAAACTCATAATTCATCGGCGGCCAGAGACCTTGGAAAAGGCAGAGGAGCATCTCTTTGGAGTAGAAGGAGGAGGAAACGATCAAAGCTTCACCGTGGAGACCAGATTCTAAGTTTCTTTTATGCATTCTAGTTTTCTTTCATCTGTTGTTCTTGTTTTCTTGAACATGTTAGACTAATTTCTTTTATGTAGTTAGGGTGAAATGTGTAACACCTTGTGTATACCCAGTTTGTTATCATATCATCGTATTAAGCTACGCTTAATAAAAATGTGGAACTAACTTTTTGTTTCCAATTATGACGTCATTATTATTAGCCAAGTTAATTACTTAATCCTTTTTCAAAACCTCGTCTGTATGTAAATTGCAATTAAACAACTAACTAAAATACCTTATAATATAATTAAGTGTGTATCTAGTCACGGAACAACAACACGTAAACCGGATAATATCCTCATACAGTTATACATCTCGACTCTAAATAACATACTCAAGTCAATGTGGCATGGACAATCCCCATGCTCACCAAATAATGCAACAAGCCCAACAAGGTTTCAGCTCAATAATCATATAATGACATTATA